GAACTACTAACGGCGTGCTACGTATGTAGGAGGAGCTGACTCAAAGACTTATCCTGTTGGCCACGTGCCCGAGCCATTTTTCGAGGTCAACAATTACCATGGGACAAGAAAAGCAGTGGAAATCTTTTTTCATTCCAAACATGTGAAATTTATCATTCAAGATATAACATTATTCAAGATCTTTTTTCTCGAATAAATTTTCACTTATCGTACATCACCTTAGGCATGTCTGTTGCTCCTGTAGTCATTTTTGTTCATTCCAATTTTGGAGACTGGCCTACATTACAATGCAGCAATTTTAGTGTGAATCTGCTTCATTACAGGGGTAACTATGCACATCTTTCTTGTTTCTGGATAATAATTCAGATTATTGTCTTATAACCTTTTTGATTCCTAAACTACAATAAAGTTAATGGTGCTCTTGCCTCTTATAAAATTCATGTTTATCAGTTTACAGGGTTCATTAGTGGAAAATATTTCTGATTTCTGGACAATTAGACCAGTCGTTGAGCATTATCCACTACAACAAAAATAATCATTTGCAACATTAAAAAGGCAACATTTGTTGATAAATGTTGTTAAAATGGTCTTTTTGCAACATTTTAGTAAGTGAATGTTGCCATTTGTTAGTATAAATGAGTTTTGGCAACGTTTTATAGAAAAATGTTGCGATAGACCCTTTTTGCAACGTTTATTAAATGTTGCGGAAAATTTTATTTTTCGGAACGTTTATCAAACGTTGCAAAAGAAAAGCCTTTTGCAACGTTTGTCAAACGTTGCAAAAATAGACTTTTGCAACGTTTGTCAAACGTTGCAAAAATAGACCTTTCGCAACGTTTGCTGAATGTTGCAAAAAAACTCACTTTTTGTAAAGTTTGGTAAGTGTTGCGAAAAGTTTTTTTTTTTTTTTTCCCAAATTAAATTTTATATGGGCTCAAACGATAGAAATAAAAAATGACCCGAACCCTACCCTAATTCACACCCCTCTCTCTCATCGCCCCCGTCCATTCATTCCTCTCCATTCACGCCTTTCTTCTTCCAATCTCTTTCAATCCCACCATTTCCACCGAATATGCCTCGCATGTGTATATATAGAGGTAAAGGCAGTAGCTCTGCAACAGATAGTGAAAGCAGAAACCAACACGCAAAGAACGAGGCAATGCAAATGCAAGCCTTTTCCACTTTTGATTTCTGTAATTTCACTGTTCAACGCATTTCAGTTCTCTGAATCCTTCAACTAAGGCGAAGCCCTTTCCAAGAGTATCCTCTACTTCGAAGCACACCGTTCCGGCCGCTTGCCGTACAACCAGAGAGTCACTTGGCGCCACCATTCCGGCCTCACCGACGGCTTAGAATAGGGGGTCCGATCACTTAACAATCCACATTTAAACATTTTTTATGAATTTTTTTATTGAAATTTGTGTATATGCAATCGATTTTTCCTTATAACGGATGGATGAGGTTTGTGAAGTTTATTGTGTGTAGTTTTATGCTTGAAACTGGTGGATTTGGTTGGAGGTCACTATGATTATCCCACATTTGTGTGATGAAGCATTTATTGTGAATTTTGCTGAAAATTTGGGAAGTTTATTCTTTATTGTGTGTGATTTTTGCTTGAAACAGGTCGATTTGGTTGGACGTTACTCTGATTATTCACATTTTTGTGCCAAAACATTTATTTCTGCAATTTTGATTATAATTGGTGAAGTTTATTATGTGTGATTTTTGCTTGAAACAGATGGATTTGGTTGGTGGTTATTATGATGCTGGTGATAATGTTAAATTTGGTCTTCCAATGGCTTTTACCATTACAATGCTTTCATGGAGTGTTGTTGAGTACCGGGATCGGATTGTGGATGCAGGGGAATATCGCCATGCCCTTGAAGCTATCAAATGGGGAACTGATTATTTCATTAAAGCAAATGGTGGATGCCCCCGTCACCGTAAGTCAGAGAAGAATTCTTAATTAATTTCGGTCCTTTGTTTGCTTTATTAGTAGTTTTTATTTTTAGTTTTTAGTTTTCTGTTTCTTTTTTTGGCACTTGGAATGTTGGATGTATAAATGTTTGAATTGAATTGTCTATGATGGTGCAATAATCTAGGCTTAATTTGTTCATAGAAATGTCTTCACCGATGATATTTTTTCTTTTCTTTAATTAGGCTACGCATGCAGATTTACTCAGAAAAGCAGCTGAACTTTCACTGGAGAATGAGAATTTGAAGAAGGTAGGTGGCACTAGTTTTCCCAGTTCAAATACATTTAAATCAGTTTTTAGGCCTAGGAATAGCACGAGAAAAATTGATCTACGTATGAAGTTTATTCTTATAGAAAGTATTTGATCCTTCTTATATGATTATTTGAAAAACAAAAAATGAATGCCTTAAATCAAAGGTAAGGCGTAGTACATGATACTTATCTTGTTTGTGGAAATTAATGTCAGAATACCTTCTGTTGGCATCTCGGCTGGTGACGAGTTGTCCATAGTAGGCGGTCGGTCCTCAACCTTTAAAATGAAGTTAACTCTCATAGAAACACGCATCACTAAATTAACAGTTTCGACTAATTGGGAATAATGTTATAAATTTAACTAATTGTTATGTGCTTTCCTAGTAATAAATAAGCTAAATTATCCTTGTTTTTTGCTTTTTGTTGATAAAGAGAGCAGAGATTTGAAAGGGTGACAAAGAATCTGAAGGTGGCAAGAGTTTTTACTACCTTCGTAGAGGAAATGAAAGCCGTTGGACTTGTATCCCTTGACGATTCACAGTGCACAGATGTTATGGTTCCCATGGCTCATAAAGACAAGCCCTGTTCTTCTCTTCATGGGTGGAGGGATGGGGGCTGGCAAGAGTACCGTGCTTAAAGACGTTCTAAAAGAGTAAGAACATTAATATGCTATTTACATCCAAAAGAAAAACATGATGAAAAATGAAGCTCAATGATTTAAATCATGTTTTTCTATTTAGCTCAAGTGATTTTTTCACATTTCTATTTAGCTCAAACGACCAAATGCCAGCTTTTGTACAAAGATGAAGCTGAAGAAAGGAGGTGCTTCTATGAAAAGTCAGATCGAAGCGAGATCATTGTCCGTCTCTACATTGTAGTGTAATTCA